AGGGGCAGAGGGAGAGGGAGAGAGAGAGAAAGAATCTTAAGCAGGCTCCACACCCAGCAAATGAGCCCGACTTGGGGATTGATCTCATGACCCTGAGATCATGACCTGAGCTGAAATCAAGAGTTGGACACTCAACTGACTGAGCCACCCAGGGGCCCCTACACTTTCCTTTTTAACTCATCTTTCTCTATCTTTATCATATGCAGCTAAAATAATCCAAGTGGCATTTTTGACATTCTGCCTAAAAATCTCCTCAGCCCAAACCATTAGGTCATTAGGTACCTTCTCTGTTATCTACATCACTTCAAGTGACAATGTTGCTAAATTTCCCTCCAATGCCTCGTAAGGGTCCCCTTGGCTCCTGCTTCCAACAACATCTTCCTCACCAGCAGCCTCTTTGGAGGCCATCAGGCTTCCCCTTCCAATGCCTTCAAAACCCTTACAGTTTCTGCCCACCTCCCAGTCCTAAGCCAGAGATTTAGGTTCCCTTATGGCAGCTGTCTACCTCCAGGTCATGAAAAGCCTGGATCTGCTGTCCACTGCCTTATAACAAACCATCCCAAAACAATGACCCCAAACTAATAACAAGCATTTATTTTGCTCATGAATTTGGGGGTTGACTGAAAATAAGCCAGGCAGCTCTCGCTCAGGACCTCTCCATGAGTTTTCAGGCACTTCTGGGGCTCCTCGAGCATCTCTCTGTGTGCATGAAGTCTTTCCACAAGCAACCTCAGGGTGGATTTCACTTATGGTCCCTGAAGGCTCCCAGCATGAGTGTCCCAAAAGGAGCCATCAGAAGCTGCATGGTCTTTTCTAACCTAGCCCTGGAAATTACCCGTGTCACTTTTGCTGCAGTCTGTTTGTCGAGGCGCTCCCAAACCTCTACCCAGGTTCAAGGGGCAGGGACGTAGACTCCTCTCCCTCTGGTGCAGGCTCTCAATCCTCTCTGCTCTCTGTCTCCCCTGAGAGCATGGAGGCAGGGCTCCGGCTTCCAAATTCTATTCCTGCAGGTGGACATCATCAACATGACTCTCTGGGCATTAAGAAGTGGCTAATCAAAGGACTATGGACATGTTTTGAAACCATCATCAAGAGGTTGAGTAACATGTCTAAGGTCACACAGCTGGAAAGTGACAGAGTTGAGGTTTGAACCCAGGCATTCTGATTCCAGACTCACATCCTTAACTAGTCTACACCGCCTGCAGTACTGGTAGACATGGCAGCTGATGGCGCAGGCTCCAGGAGTGGGTAGGTGCTCTGTCCTGGGAAAGCTCCCGACTTGCTTCTCTATACTCAGCTTGCTCTCAGAAGGGGAGTGGGACTCGTATTAGACACAGGGGCTGCCGGATGTAAAATGAATGAACCAATCAGAGCTGGAGCAGCCTCTTCGCAAGGCATTTTCTCCTCCCTGTGATGGCTGGCTTCCCCGTGGCCACCCGTGCCTTGGTGTGGTTCCCATGTCACTCTCACCACAGCTGTAGACACCTCCTTGTCTACTCACTCTTGTGCACTTGATCTTGCTAAGTGTGTTCCCATGGGGGAAAGAGGAGTGCCCCTTGACATTTCAAGAATGTCTGCCGAGCTGTTTGGTGGAAACCTGCAGATCGCTCATCAAAGAAGATGAGGCTTCTGTTGACTTTACCAGGCCACGGAGTTTTCCTAAATTTCCTTTAAGGCTTGACTTTCTACAGATTTCAACACACAAAGATTAAAAATTATATTTTTGGTCACGAGCATTAAAGTCCTAAATAGGGCTTGCATGATTGACCCACATTTCCAATAAATCTTATCTGAAGTAATGCTTCATATTCTGAATGACACCTTGGTGCAGAGGACAAATCAGCCAGGATACAAATGGTGGGCAGGTAGGGCTGCCATGACTGGTAATATAGTCTGGGCACTGCACCAAGCGGCCTTGTTACCCAGCCCCACATTCCACTGGCCCAACATTTCCCCTTGGTGAGGGACTGTATCTGCCTGGAGGAAACAACAGCTTTTTCTAATTTGTCTGTCCAGAGGGACACCTTTTTCTAACGTAACAAAGATACCATATGTATTAGAAGCAGAACTAGGGGACAGCTGGAAGATATAATAAAATATTATATTAACCTACTCCATAGGACAAGTGATAGAAATCAACCCTGGCAAATAATAATAATAAATTTATTAAATTTCAAGAAAGGATTGAACAACTTAGCCTCAGGAAAGGCCAGAGGCAGGACAGTTCCAAGGACCTAAGCATCTGGAGTCAATGAACTACCTCCTTAGAACACTTCCATTAAAGCAGCCCCATCCCCACAGCGGCCAGTCTCTACCTCTTGGTTCAAAATCCCAGAATCTTGACAGAAAGAATCTGATTGATCCAGCTGGATTTAGCTGTTCCCTCCATACCCATCAGCTGTGGCCAGGGGTGGGAAGAATCATTGAGAATAGTCTGTACCATAGATTGAGTTGCTGAGCTCCTCACTGTATTAGGGGGTTCCCAGAGCCCAGGCTCTTAACTTTGAGCCAGGCAGCCCTCCCAGAGTCACTTGTAGAAGTTCTGTACAATGACTAGCTAGGATTTGCCATCCCCAAGGCAGTCAATGGCTGATCAATCCAACCATTCAGAAAAAAAATTCCTGTGGCCGTTCACTCCCTACATAGCAGGCAATGACCCTCTCCATTCACTAAAGATCTTATTTATGAGTGCTTTTAGCTTCTCAAGTCAGTTCTTCATGTTCTTCTCCTTATTGGGACTTGGGTCACTGGCAGACCAGAGCAGATATTCAGCGTTATAAAACTATTCAGAGGCCAGTCTAGGCAAAAGTCACAAAATTATCTTGCAGTGTCTTGCTCAACAACCTCTTAAAAAAAAGTATTTTTTTAAATTATCACACATTTAAAGATAATTGAATGGGGGTGCCTGGGTGGTTCAGTAAGTGGCTGACTCTTGATCTCAGCTCAGGTCTTGATCTCAGGGTTGTGAGTTCAAGCCCCGTGTTGGGCATGGAGCCTACATACATGGATACATACATACATACATACATACATACATAAAATCAAATGGAGTGTTACTGGCTGGCTCAATCATTAGAGCATGGGACTCCTGATCTCGGGTCATGAGTTCAAGCTCCACCTTGAGCATAGCGCTTACTTAAAATAATAATAATAATAATAATAATAATTGAACAGAAACCCACGTAGCCACTCCCCAGTTTCAACAGACGTTCATGGTTTGCTATTTTGCTTCAGTTTCCTTATCTTTTTTTAAAGAAATAACACCTTACAGCTACAGCTAAATCCTTGCCCATATTCCTGCTCCCTCCTGCCCGTGCAGATATGAGTGCCATCTTAAAGTTGGGAGTATCATTTCCAGTAGTGATTTTGGCTTTGACTTTTCTTTCTGTCTGGACCTCAGGTGCACAAGTTAAGCGATCATTCTCTCAACAGCATACTCTCATCACTGTTCCTTCTGCACAAAGGCCCTCTCTTGTTTTATTTTATCCCTCTGATCCTTGCTCACTACCCCAGTGCACCCCACCCCTTAAGGCAACCACAGTAATGTGTTTGTATGCGTTCCTCTAAAGCATACATGTGTACATGTATTTTTAGTTTAGGGTTTAATTTTTAGTTTAGTTTTAGTTTGGGGTTGTTATTGTTGTTGTTTTAGCTTTGAGGCACTTTATTGTAAAAGGCTGGTACTCATATCCATAAACGAATAAGAACTTAAAAGTCATCATACATTTACTTCATTTTTTAGCTTGACTTTCTAGTAAATCTTTAGCTTTATTGATTGGGGCCGCTATCTAAAGAGATCCTCCCTTGTCTGGGGGAATCATTTAAATTTAAAAGCATCATTTGTCAATGAGCATCACATTTTTCCTTTATTGCCAGTAGGGTTATGCTCAGTATTAATGCTGCTTATGCTTAGTACTAATGCTGCTTCCCATTTTGCGATTTGGGGTTCAAACCCACCTCTGTAATAGCCACCGCTGACGGCAGATTTTGGTAGATTTTGAGAAATGTGTTTTCCTTGAGGCTCCACATGCCCCATGGCTTGCGAAACAGAACAGCTTGCAAATCCTGCAGCTTCTACGGCTGGACTGGCCATGGCTCCAGCCCGGCTCCCCTGCCTCCACGGAGCCCAGAGGCCACAGTCACCCACCTCCACGGCTCTTCTGGCAAGTGATGTGCACACCCCCCCCCCAAACAGGCACTGTGTATTTCCAGTTCACATAAATGACACGGTGTCGGAGATTTTATTCTGTTTCTTGCTTTCTCAGCCAGCACTACACTTTTAAGGTCCACGCATATCGTCGGGTGTTCATCTAGCTGCAAGGGCATTCACCCCTTTTCACTTATCCCATTCCTCCAGTGAGGTGGAGGAGAGAGGAGCAAACTGAGGAAGTGGTTAGGACCGGGCTTGTCCTCAAGACGCTATCCCTGGAGAGAGAAGTGTCAATGCACGTGTGCACGCAGGTACACACACACACACACACACACACACACACACACACCCCACTTCTGCTGGGGCCCCGGCGAGTGGAGGTGGGGGAAAGCCAGCCGAGAGTCCTATCAAAGGAGGACTCATTTCAGAGCTCTGCTCTTACATCCAAGGCCTTGCCCCCTCCAGGAAGCCTGCCCTGACCACCCCATTCCATGCAGGTCTCTCCCCATTCTGAGGACTGTGAATCTCATCTAATCATACACTAGTCTATTCTAGTCTTCCTATTACTCTCTCCCTCATTAAGCAGACATCCTCTGGAAGGAAAGGACCGTCTCTTGTCCTTTCTGTCTCTCTTGCTCGAGGCCTGGCCCTCAAGAAAGGAGGGCAGGGAGTGGGAAGCAGAATAGCGATTTCCTTAATTCAGGCCCCGCTCCCTCTGTTTCAGGGACATGCCATCTTTCAGCAAACGCTTCGGTGCCAGGCTCTTAGAAGTCCAGAGAGAAAATACATGCTGTTCCAGCTCTTAGGAAGCCATTTATGGGGGTTGCAGACACCCAGACATGGAGTCATAGGATGGCACAGAGAAGACAAAAACAAGCAGATACTTGGGGTGCTGAGGAGGAAATCCCAGCACAGCTCAGAGGGAGGCCAGGGGGCTCCTAGACGAGGCGACATCCAAGCTGTCTCCCGCTGAAAGAAAAGAGGTAAATTGAGAATCGGGAGCTGGGCGAAGGGATTATGAAATAAGATCGAGAGGATACAAGGAATACCAGTACTGCCTGCTTCCAGTTATCGTGGCTATACATCAAACAACCACTTTATTATGTTTGCAGAGTCTCCGGGTCAGGAATCCGGACAGGACACAGCAGGAAGAACTTGTCTCTGCCCTGGGTCATCTGGGGCCTCAGCTGGAAGCATCCATGGCAGGGCTTTGGAATCACTGAAGGCTCATTCACCCACAAATCTGGTGGCTGGTGCTGACTGCAGGTTGGGTCCTCAGTGCCTCTCCATGTGGTTTTCCCATTGGTCTCTCCGGGCGGGCTGGTGTGGGCTTCTTATATAGCACGGTGACTGGGTTCCTGGAGTGAGCATCCCCAAAAAGAGAGAGAGCCAGGTGGAAGTTATATGACTCAGCATCCCAAAGCATCCCTTCTGCCATACTCTATTGGCCAGAGCCATCACAACTGCCTGGCCCAGATTCAATGAGAGGAAACAGACCCCCCCCCTCCCCGGCTCAGTGAGAGGAAAGTCAATCATCTTGCAAGAATAGCATGTGGGATGGGATATACATTTTGGTGCAGCCACCTTTGGAGAATACAATCACCATGGTATGTATTGATAAGGTGGAGGGTGAACAATGAATGGGTAGGCATCCAATATCATTGGAGTATAATATGTGAAATGGAGGCAACCAGATACGAGGCTACAAGGATAGGTCAGGCCAGGTGCTGGAGGGTCTTAAAACCACACTTAGGAGAATGCTTACAAAGGAGCATTTTGGAAGCCCAGGACTCCTGCCCCCTCATTCCCGTCACCCAGCACCTCCTCTGTGCTTCATCAGAAAATATCTAAGACTCTCTATGGGTGACTAAAGCAAAGAGACTCTCAGGATTGGTCTGCACCCTTGAAGTAAGTGTCAAGGACAGCTAGACACCAGCCCCTACCCTTGTGCCTATATGTGCATGTGTCCACACCTACCTGGCCAAGCCCAATCTCTTGGCTCCAGAGTCCTATGGATGCTGCTGCTTGGGTAGCAGAGACTCTTCAGAAATGCCCTTCCAGGGGCACCTGGCTGGCTCAGTCAGAGGAGCATGGGACTCTTTTTTTTTTTTAAATTTTATTTATTTGACAGAGAGACACAGCGAGAGGGAACACAAGCAGGGGGAGTGGGAGAGGGAGAGGCAGGCTTTCCGTAGAGCAGGGAGCCCGATGTGGGGCTCGATCCCAGGACCCTGAGATCATGACCTGAGCCGAAGGCAGACGCTTAACAACTGAGCCACCCAGGTGCCCTGAGCATGGGACTCTTGATCTCGTGCTTGCGAGTTCGAGCCCCACATTGGGTGTAGAGATTACTAAAAAATAAATAAACCTAAAAAAAGAAAGAAAGAGAAAGAAGAAAGAAAGAAAGAAAGAAGGAAAGAGAGAAGGAAAGAAAAGAAATCCCCTTCCAGATCCATCCCTTTCCAGATCCATTCTGAATAGTCCTGGGCAGAGCAAGACCCACACTTCACACACACACACACACACACTCAGAAACACATGTGCACAGGCCCACTAGACGTAAGCCAATGGGACAGCATCATATCAAGGAGAAAGCACTTGTTTGGTAGTCAGGAGTCCCATGTAATCATCCAGTCTCTGTCCAACGAGCAATGGGCCTTGGGGGAGGTCATTTACCCTGCTGGAACTTGCAGGCAAGGGCAAGAATTGCACTAGACAGGAGTTTTCCCCAAGTGTGGTCGTTGGAGATCGGCAATTAAAATCACCTGGCTTGAAAACTACCATGAGCTATCACCACACACTCACTAGAAGGGCCCAGATAAAAAAGATAGGCAACACCAAGTGCTGACTGGGAAGGAGAGCAACTGGAGCTCTCAGACTGTTGGTGGGGATGCAAAATTGTATACCCACTTTAGAAAGCCATTTGGTAGTATCCACTAAAGCTAAATCCCTTCCCTATGACCCCAATTCCACTCCTAGAGATTTACCCCAAAGACATAAAACATATGTCTGCAAAAGGGACTTGACTCGTACAAAATGATCATAGCAGCTTTATTTTTTAACAACCCCAAACTGGAAGCAGTCCATCAACAGGTGAATGGATAAATCCGAAGAAACCCAACTACTGATACAGGCAACATGGGTGGACTCAAAAACATTTAGGCTGAGTGAGAAGTCAGAAACAAGAGTGAATGCCATATGACTCCACTTAGCACAGTCTCCAAACAGGTGGAACTTAACATGAAGAGAAAAGTCAGAACTGGTCCCTTGGGGCCTGAGACGGGTGCGGGGGAGGGGGGAAGGTGGCCGGAAAGAGGATCTATGGAAATTTCTCGAATGATAGAATTGCTCTCTATTATCATAGGATGTAGGTTACACAGATGTATACGTTTGTCAAAACGCATGAACCCGCACGCGTAAGATCTGGACACTTCACTGTTCTACTTTAATTTTTTAAAAAACCAGATCATCTGCACTGCCTGTTAAAATGCAGCCTGGGCACCCCAGACCGACGTCGGGGAGTCCTCTGGAGCGAGGCCCTGGAATCTGCATTCTCCACAGCCTCCAGCTTTGGCCAGAGCGTTAGATTGGAGACCCATGCCCCCAGGGGCGACTCCCCCCCCACCCAGGCGTCCCCAGACGCCCACGATCCCACCCAAGTCTCCCGCTCTCCCCCAGCCCCCAGCCCTCTGCCCAGTCGCCCCTGGTAACCAAGAAAGGGCTTGAAAACCCTCAAAGTGCAGCCGCCCGGGGAGGGCCGTCCACAGTGTCAGCGAAACAAGGGCAAATACAAAATGCGGGGTAATTGGCGGTTTTCTCATTCTCAGCCCTTTGTGCGGCGGCGCGGAGCCGGGGCCGCGCTCCCAAGCCCGGGCCTTTGAGCCGCCGGGGGCCGGGCCTCAGCGCTGCCCGCGCTCCGCAGCGCATAATTAATGGGGCTTCACAGGGCCCCGGACAAAGGCGCCCATTCACCCCGCCGCTCCTCCCCCCGGGGATATTGTTACTTCTAGAAACTGCAGCCAGCTGGGCCGCAGAGAAACGTCAGCTCTGTGGGAGAGTGAGCGGCCAGGCCGCGAGGAGAGAGGGAGCTCTGTCTCTGCGCCCTGAGCGAGCGGGATTAGAGCCGGCCAGCGAGCCCCGGGGTGGGCAGGGGGCCCGGGGTCTTTTCTGCAGTCTGCACAAGTCCTCAGAAAGCCTCGTGATTTCCATGGGGCCCTGGAGGAGAGCGCCATGGAAATGGTAATGGGCGCATTGAGGCTAGTTCTTAGGGAAGGAGAAAGGGGGTGCATTCAGGCCCCCCTGAGCATGGCACATCTCCCGAGTGGGAGGGGCCGGTCGCTGGCGGGCCGGGGCGGGGGGGAGCTGGTGGGAAGCCAGAGTGCCCCCACCTGTACCAGGCCTCTGGGACAACAGGCAAAATGAGTCAACGGATAAAGGCCTCGGTCTCCGTCTGCGGAGCCTGGGGTGAAGTCAGGGACTGGGGGGATGTGAAGACCCCATAGTCACCTGGCTTCTGCTCCAAGGACCACTGGGGAGCTTATTCCAAACAACACCTATGCAGAAGCAGGCTCTCAAAATCTGGGGGGGGGATGGGGTCTTCTTTTCCTAAGTCTCCCAGCCCCTCTGAAGCCCACCCACACTGGATCCCCTCTCACCCTGCCCCAGCGAGATGGTGCAAGGGCCCCACTTCCCATTGCACAGAGGAGGAAACAGGCCCAAGGAGGCAAACTGGCTTGCCCGCGATGACAGAACAGAGCTGGGACTGGGTGTGCTGGTTGTGTGCAAAAGCAGAACAGAAGGGAGAGGCAGCTGGAAAGGGAGGCTTCCCCTCCTCCCCAGAGCGGTTCTTGACTGTGCAGGCCTGTTCTGTTCTCTCCCTTCCCCGGCTTCTCCTTGCGTGGGACAGATCTGCCTCATTAAATGCCCCTAGCATGTTCTGTTTCGTGGGTTCACTGGGTTTTCTCGGACCCGCTCCATCAGAGGCACGCTTGAATGCAGGTCCAGAGATCACATTAGTTTTCTGTCCAGGCCCAGGGCCGGTAGAGCTCCAGCCAAGGCTCACTGGATGTGAGCAGCTTCTCATGACTCCAGGGGCCAGTCCCTTAGGCTATGCTCCCCTTCCAAGCTCAGTGCCCTCCGCAGGCCCCGCAGAGGGCCTGGTCCCAGCTCAGCAGTGCTGGGCTTCACCTTTGCCACTGAAACCCAAGAAACGGGCCCCCGTTCATTCCTCCTCCCGAAGCTAGGAGCAGTCATGAAGAGCCACCGTGGATTCCCAAAACCTCAGCATCCTGAACAGCTCCCAGAACAAGCAGGGGCCTTTCCAGAGCCCTGCCCATCCCAGCCCATCTCATGGAGACGTTCTGTCCCTAGGCTGTACTCTGGAAAATGTTCCCTCAGCCTGAGACTGCCAGTCCTGAGCAGGGCCTCGGGCCTCAGAGCCAGACCAGGCCGTAGAGCGTCCTCCTGCAAATGAGGGAAAGGAAGCCTCCCTGGATTTGCAGAGGAGCCCAGGAGGGCACCCAAGGCCCTGAGAGGGTGCCCAACCAAGCTCTCTCCACTTCCGCCAGGCCGCGCTGCACACTGGAAAGCCAGTGTCCTGCAACATTTGTATCTGTGGGCGGGAGAATGTACAGAAAACTCAAAAACAAAGTGAAGGGGAAGAGAGCCATTCAGCCAAGGCCTGACCAGGCCTCTAAGGGGACAGATCAGCTGTCTGGTTGCAGCTCGATTCAGGGATGGCCACCAAAGCCACAGTAGAGCTTCCGTGGGGGACCCTGTGACCGAGGCGGCCCCCACCGGCCAGACGGCCAGCAGGGCATCAAGCAGAAAAAGAGGCTAGTCGTCTGCCATTAAGTAAGCTTTATTTAGGGTATAGAGTGATCCGATGGGATCTGGAAATAAGAGGAAGGCTCAGCCATAAGGGAACCACACGACGTCAAACAATGTCCTTCAAATACACACTGAAGTATTTAAGGCAAAGGAGCAAAAATGTCTCTAACTTGTTCTCAGATGATTCCACAAAATGTAAATAATTGGTGAATCTTAGAAAAGGCTTACAGGGCGCCTGGGTGGCTCAGTTGGTTAAGCGACTGCCTTCGGCTCAGGTCATGATCCTGGAGTCCCTAGATCGAGTCCCGCATCGGGCTCCCTGCTCGGCGGGGGGTCTGCTTCTCCCTCTGACCCTCCCCCCTCTCATGTGCTCTCTCTCATTCTCTCTCTCTCTCAAATAAATAAATAAAATCTTTAAAAAAAAAAAAAGAAAGAAAAGGCTTACAGAAATCACTTGTAATACTCTTAAAATTTCTCTGAAGTTTGAGATTTAAAAATAAGCAACAGGAAGTGCGTGCGGGCGCATGCGTGTGCCCACACGGCACAGTGTCCATGTTCCAAACTCTACACCCAGCGCTGGGTGTCAAGTCTCCTGTGGGCCCCTCCTCCCACGCAGGCGCATTACAAGCAGCCTTCACTATCTTCTGTTATAGCAGTTTGTGAATCCAAGTTGGTTTGAAAAGTCTTTAAGGGTAAGGCCTGTGCTGTTTATAATCCTCCTGCAGCTAGCACCAGGCTTTGTGGACGGTAAGCATTCAACCAACCCTGGCGTCCGCCCATTTGCCATGGAAGGTTTCTAGCTCTGAGTGAAGTGGGAGAAGGAGAAAGTGAGGGGCCGGCCAATGGAAAGAAGGAGCCAGGAAAGATGGTCGAGTCCATACAGACTTCCCAGGCCGGCACACTCATGTGATTTTTTTTTTTTCAAGGTTAGCAGTCAGGCCGCCCTAATCAGATTCTTCCATCCTTCCACAAAGCTTGGAAAGTGCCTCAGCCCCAGCAGGGCTGCTCGTAGGGTCCACTCAGAGCACTTACAGACATACACGGCCTGAACCTGGCCATGTCCACTGCAACGTGTGGTCAGCAGAGCCAGGAATGTATCTGCCTAAATGGTACCTGGTTCTCTGTGAGTCTCGTCTCTTCTCTCCACTGAGATCGCACGGGGCAGGGCCGGCCTCCTCCCCCTTCCCCCCGTGGGTACCCTCACGGGCTTGGCAGGAACACAGACCCACATGGGCCCTTCTCGGGTGACTGTGCCAGGGACTATGTCTGGTTTGCCCTCTCATACATCCCCAGCACTTAGCACAGCGGATGGCCCAAATTTGGTGCTCAGTAGACACCCATTAAACACTCACTAACACAGAGTCTTGTTGAGCTGAGTCGACTTGCCTGCCATGCCAAGGGCATCCTGAGCAAGCTCCTTTGAGAGTTGTACTTCTGGCCTCGGATCTCACCGTCAGGGCAGCAGAGTTTCCCCCAGGGGACCCTGTGACCTAGGCAGCCCCCAACTTTCCCCTCTCTGCCCATCCTCAGAGCAGGTCCCTCTGGTTGCTGACTCTACCGTGTCCCTGAGAAAGGCAGTGGTACCGTCTCTGTGGCCCATGTGACACGGTCAGTGTTAGGACAGTTAGTCTCTGCTGCTGAGTCCTCTCTCATGGTCCCGTTGGGGGAGTCCCTTGGGACAAGAAGCTTTGCTCAGCACATTTCCAGAGGGGGCACGACCTTCTGTAAGAGACCTTGGGACCAAAGTGGTAGCCCTGCCACCCCCTCCCCCTGACTCCGTCCTCACATACACATATGGACAAGGCTCAGTATGGGGGCAGCAGAGTGTAGCACCCGGTGCCCACCCAGAGAGTGAGGGGGAACAGCGGGCTTGGTGGGGGCAGAGAGAGGGTGACCAGAATGGTCGTCAGGAGCTCCATTTTTCTCCCTGGTACCTGGGGCCAGGACACTCGTTACGGGGCAGTGGGACTGCTAGCAGGAACAGAAAACTGAGGCATGGGCATCTTCAATCGGGTCTGTGGAACCCTTCCAGAAGTACAACCCCACGGCTAGGAGCCTTGGGGTGTATTGTTCCTGCTGCTACCCCAGGGCCTGAGCCCCAGGTCAGTCCAGAGAAGGGTTAGATGCATTCCTGGCCTTAGGGACAGAACAGCTCAAGCTGCCCAGAGAGATCTGTGTGCACCTTGTGAGGAGTGGGGAGCTCTTCCTTCAACATCCCCCACTGTGGGGCTGGGCCATCTTGACAAAGCTTCTCCTTCTGTCTCTGCACCTCTCACCATCTCCCTGTACCCCTTTAGAGGAAACCACTTGCTGGGCCTTTGGGGCAGGACTGGCCACGCTCCCAGCACACTCAGTGTTTGCTTCCAATCCAAGAAAGAGCCAGGCTGGGAACTCATTCTCCCCGCCCCCTCCTTTTCTTTTCTTTTTCTGTCTCCTTCGCTTTATCCCCAATGCCCCCCCTCAACCCCAAGAGCTTCCAAAGTGACAACATGTGGGCCCAAATCAAACCCTTGTCTTCAGGCCCCTGCTGGCATCTCTCCCAGATCACCCACCTTCCTCCTCCTTGTGCTCTGCAACCCAGCCACCCTCCTCACCCCCACCCCCGCCATTCCTCTTTGTGGACAACTTTCTAAATGCAGCCAAACTTCCCCTTTCAGTCCACAGGCCCTGTAAAACAGCTGCAAGAAGTCAGCAGCTCTGCAAAAGTTCTCTTGCAGATCGAGACTGAGAGCAACACCCTTTGGCTCTAGCCATAGCTTCCCCCCTCCCAGGCTCTGGAAGGCCAGCCTCCTCCCCCAGGAAACAGTGGGGAGACCCCCTGGTACTTGCTCCCAGGGACACAATTTCCCCAACGGTCTAATCTAGAGAGAACTCCCTGAGGGGCCCGGCAGAGGAGGAGACAGCCCAAAGCCTGGCCTACAGGCCTGACCCTCCAGAGCCCTGTGCGACCCCGGGCTGTCCACTTACGCACCGTCCACACACGTCCACACACACAGGCTTCGGGTTTCTAGAACGAAAGGATGGATTGGCCGGTTTTCCAGGACCCTTCCGAGTCTAAAATTCCACCGATCTGTCATCTCTCCTTGGGGTGCTCCTGCCCGAGAGAGAAGGGGCTTTGCCCAGGGACACATGGCTAGCCGAGGGCTGTCTGACCCAGACCCAGCTCTCCTAAACTGCATCCCCTGTTCTCTCTGTGACACGCGGCCCTCAGTAACACGCGGCCCTCAGTAACAGTGGCTGGCTTTCACTCCTGGCCACTCTGATTGGTATCAGAATCATCTGGGGAGATTTTACATCCTATCAATCCCCGGGCCGCACTCCAAAACAACGAGATCAGAATCTCAGGTCGGGGCCTGGTTATCCATCTGTTTGGAAAGTTACCCAGGTGATTCTGACTGAGAAGTCAGAGTTTAGAACCATTGCGGACAAGTCTTCTAGAAACTGAAGATGAGGCTCTAAGCCAGAAGTGCCTGCCGGCTCCCTCCCAGGCCCTCGAGGCCTCCCCATGCACTCCAGGGCACACGGCCCCAGGACCGCAGCCCAGAAACTGGAAACCAACCTCAGCCAGAGGCAGGAGGCCCAGGGGGCCACTCCAGCCCTCTGAGGGCTTTGTGTGGATTGAGAAAAGAAAAACAGAGAAGGGAAACTGTAGCAGAGCCGAATGCAGTGAAGGAGAAAAAGACAAGAGAAAGGGGAAGAGCCCTGAGGTCAGAGAGTCATGTGAATGGCATTTAGGGAACAAAGCCCCTCCATGGTGCCCCCTGTTCCCCCTTCATCAATCATCCGCTGGGCCTGGTAAGAAGCGCTCTTCTGCCAGCGCCCAGGGCACGGAGGGCATCACTGCCCATAGAGTCCCAGGACAGAAAGTGCACGGCCAGAAATTGGCCCGTTCCGAGTCTGTGAGCCCTGCACATCCTCTCCCCGGGCAGGGCTCGCAAAGGGCCCTCCCTGCGCCTCCTCCACTCACCAGGGCCAGGGGCTCCTGCCAGACGTTTAAGCAACATCACTTGGGCATTTCTAGACCAGAATAAAGGCCAAATCCAACTCCCAAGACACCTGGCATCCCATCAAAGTGATCCAGGTGGTGCTGTGTGACCTCCAGGGAGCCGCCCCACTCCCCTCTCTGGGCTTTAGTGCCTGATCTTGTCTGCCTTCCTGCAGAGGCATATTTGGAAGGAAGGGTCATGGCTGGAGGCCAGGGGTCAAGAGCCTGGGCTCTGGGGCCAGAGGCCTGGGCTAGGGTCCTGGCTCTGCCACACACTAGCATCATACACTCTGGGCCTGCGGGTCCTCACCTGCTCGGTGACGGCCGACAGAAAGGGAGAAGGCCGCACAAGCCCGGACCAACGTGGCACTGATATCTAGAACGCACGAGGGCTGCCCTCCACTAGTCGGAAGCAGATGGTAACCCCAAGAGAAAAGCGGGCACGGAAGGTGAGCAGGCGGTGAACAGAGCTGCAAGAAGAAACACAAACTGGAGACCCGGTTCCGACGCCAGACAAGTTTCTGTTCGGGACCGATGTCAGTGAGGAATGGCAGAAGGGACGGCTGTTCCCAGCCTGGGGACGGTGCCCGACACCTCCACCAGGGGACATTTGGCAATGTCTGGAGACCTTTTTGATCGTCACG